TAATGAAGAAATAAATGTTTATATTGGACACAATTAAGAGCATATTATTGGATGTTTTTCAAAGACGCGATAATGAGACACTCTGGCTAAAAGCAGCGGTGGTTGTGAATGTTAATTTTGCTGTCAGCTACGATTTCTGCCATTTATCCGTGGCTACGCCGATAACTTCTCTCTGCGGCAGTTATTTTCCAAAGTATTATTCATCGTTTCAAAGTTTAACCACTAATCGCCACAGGGAGAAACTCGCTGCTAAGTGTTCAGCTGCGCATCAACGTCTCTAGTGCATCACTCTATTCACTATCCATCAGACTGCTTAAAAAGTTGGTGACGCGTGTCAAACCGGCGCTGTAGTAATTTCCTTAAATCATGTGCGAGTTTTGATGCTTTAAATCTCTCATGGAAGATCCTTCACAAATTTTATCACTTTACCTTTGTTATAATATTGTTTATAAGACATTCGATTAGTGTTATATAGTTTATATTCACTTTTCTCTGTTTTTATGAATAATACATTTTGATAGAGTGACAATTTTCATCTTTCATTTCGAAGAAAGCTTAATATTATTAAGTTTTTCATTATATGATTAACATTGTATAGTTTAACAGTTAATTTTCGAAAAGTGTATCATTACCACTAGGAATGAATTGGAAGCAATTTTTATTCTAAAGAAAGTCTGATATTATTGATACTAGTCACGTGCGTTTATTATGTCTTCTTGTACGCCTTAATGACGTCATGTTAATGAGATGCTCGGCACAGCCGTTCATTCTCAGCGAAGCTGCTTTGAATCTAGTCGCGTTTTATACACACAGACGTGCATCCTGTATACGTGAATGGATACTCTAAAGGTAGTTTTTGTTCGGATTACCCTATAGATTTCGGTTGGTAATCTGTATTTCATTTACTGACGCAAGCGGCGATGATTTAATTTATACAAAGATCGAAAAAGCTTGTTTGCCACGCGCTCGTTACATCTTTAATACACCCCTCATCCAATTTACTCGCGTTAAGACGCGCCTTATCGCTTTCTCCCTTTCGTTATGTAAATTCTTCGTCCAAGCTTTTCATCGAAATTGAACTGTTTTACATATGAACGAATATGCAAAGCAGGATGCCTTTAATAATTATCCATGAGCTCGAGTAACTCATTTATATGATATTACGTCGTTAAGTCATTGTACTTTATTTTGGAATTTGTAAACTTACGTGGAATATTACATAAAATATTGCATACACTAAACTGCATCACGTGGGACAAGTAATATCAACTCTTTAAAACGAGAATTATTTATTTAAAATAACTCTGTATGTCTCGTTGATTCACTTGATTTCTTGAAATTAGACTCTATTGTTCAACCAGAGTCGAATTTTTTAAAGTGCACAAAAATCGCGCAAATGGAGGTGGAAAATAAATGTCAACTAACGCTAAAACTGCACACGCAACGAGAACATCGGGAAAAGGGCTGTAGCAAGCACGCGTCGAAACAACTTAGAAAAGAATGAGTCTTCTATACGTCCTGGAGAATCGGTTAAGCCTCAGGCCCTTCGAGGGGAAGGATCTGGTTTATTGCACCCTCACGTGTTTTGGACGTTGTTGCAGCTCCTATCGTTATTTCCCGAGTGTTTCTCCTTTTGGATTTTTCCGTTTTCTTGCAATCAATTTAATTATTTTTATTACGAGTAATCTGTCTTTCTCACTTGGAATAATTTTAATTTAAAACAACCCTAACGTACACATATGTGCCAATGTCCCTGAAGAGGTTAATGAAACGTATTTACGAGTATGGTCGTTTAAACTGATCGATTTTGTATCTTTGATAATTATTATCACGCACAATACGGAGAATTCGTTCGCAAACATTCGGTACTCGTTTTCACTCTTATCTCTTTACCCAATGGAACGTGTATGTTTCGTAATTTAATGCAGATGTTTGTTCTTCGTCGCGGTATCAATTCCCGAGCGCATTTTAATCTTATCAGTATGATGACAGCAACATTGAATAGTATTCCGCTAAATAATCATCCATCATGCGAGAAGACTTTTTATCTGACAGTCTGGAATTAAGATTCAATTTATTGCGTTGATAAGCGCGAGCTATAGATTAGTTATATTATAATGTTCTTCGGATAATTTGGAAACCATTTTTAATACAAATTATTTTTTATTTGTGTTGCATAATGTTTATTATTTTGTTATAACGTGCATATTGGCAGTGAAATGATTTAATGAAGTGCATGAAAATGATAAAAATTACTTCTCTCCCTGCGAAATGTTTCTTGTTTAAATAAAGCTGATGCAGGATCTTTCAGCGAACATTGTTTCTTAGGTATTTCGCGCAATATCAATTATCTTTGTAATTAGGTTAATGTACGTTCAACGGGTACCGCGAACTTTATCAAAGGCCAAATTTCCTTTGGTGTACTCTATTCTTCTCTGTTATCTAATTGTTTGTAAACCGATATTAATTAATACTAGCACATGGTATTCAATGTATTTTCCGTACACAATTTCAACATAAATACATTGGCACGATAATTATCACAAAATTGCCGGTTAATTCTTATTTACTTAAATGAGTATCTTTTTTTATTCACATTAATTAATTATGCCTCAGTACTAAATGAATAAATTCGTGATACAACGATTACTATAAATTACCATGCAATTCACATTTTCATTACTTAACTATGCAAGTTGCTTTTTAATTTGCACGTTCATACATCAATTGTATGAATCGTGTCTCGAATTTATTTGCAATATTGTAACGTTTACGTATCGGGACATCATTCGGTTGGTATCGATGGGATAACGTTTAAGTGCGGGCTGGGGAAAAGAGCTGGCATTCGAGTGCATTCGGAATCCGGTGAATATCGGCGTGGAATTTATGATACCTGTAACATTATTACGGAAATAGGTCGACACGTTACTGGCATTGCAGATACGCAGGGAACGCTATGAAATCTATCTTTCTCTCTGTTTTTTATTTGCTTGTTCATGACACTGCACTCGGTGCTCCGTTTTAGTATTCGAGACAAATAGAGGATATGTGGCACGTCAGTCGGAAACTTTTTTTTGTCAAGCGTCGCTACAGCGTTTGCTTAATTTACCGAAAATGTATGATTTTTGTGGCGTTAACAAAAGTATTGCAAAATAAGAGAGAAATTTATACTCTTATTAAAAGTTTATAGCTGAAACAATAAATTCCGACAATTTTGAGCCTGATCAGCTATTTTACGAGAGAACGAATTGTTAAAGAAACACGCGCCCGAGAAGCGAGAAGGGTGTGGACTATGAGCTGTGTTTCTCTCATGACTAATTCAATCAGGTCAGCAGTTGTTTATTGGATTGCAGCCGCGAGACGCTGCACGTATCGACTAGAGTTTACGTAGACGAAACGATACCGGAAAATGGATAAAAAATCGAAATATAACGCTAATTAAAAATCGTATAGAAGAAAGTATATATACTTAATAAGTTACAAAAATAAGTTGTAATCATGAGTATATTCCTTATTTTTTACAAATATAATTTGTTTATAAAATCCGCAGTTTAACCATGACATATAATATGTTGATGAAATTTTAATAAAAACTGTGACAAAAACATTTCCATACTAAACAGCTTTCTAGATATTCATTCAATTAGACCGATTTGAATATCTCCGAGGACATGAATTTTATCTAGAGAACAGGGTAACACAATGGAGCGAACATAATTCTAGTATCTCAAGCATGCACGGTCTTTATCCCATACGGTTAAGCTCGAACCTCCCTCCCATCGAGGGTTCGTTGTATTGCATCGGAACCAGCCGGAGCTGGCCTAATAGTTCCCTGACTGCGCCGTTTCAGATCATCCGTTATACACATCTCTGTCGAACACAGCCTCTGTCTCTCGTGTCATTTGATTAGCTCTGTACACAGGCAAACAAACCAGCCAAGTGCCATCGAGCACTCTCGATACAATTATATTGCATTTCCTGTCCATCTCACGCTCATTAACCTGAATGTATCCTGACCTAAACATGTGCTAATACTATTAACAATGTTTTGACTAATTTAACTAACGATCAAGCCAGGTTCATCAAATTACGTTATTAGCGTCTTTGAATGAATTTTTAGTCACAATTTAATGAACAGGAAGTGTAGTTATGTCTGCAGGGACTACTTGTTATCATTATTTATATTACGAAAAATGGATAAATTTCATACCTGGGTGGACAAATATAATTTAATTATTTTCAAGAACATTATTTATGATTAAAATTTTATTGTATGCAATTTTCTGCAATTTTAAAATACTTGCGATCTTTTTTAGTCTTGAAATTCTGAAAGAAGTTATATTCTGTTAAACGCAATAGGCATCTATCTGTCATAATTTATCATCTTGTGACTTATAATACAAGCTAGACGTATGATGGAATCCGTGAGATTTACGACCACATCCTCGAGTTTAGGACAGCCTGTAATACTTTCGGTAACCTCTGAAGAGGACCGATGTGCCCGTGACGAAGTCACGCGGACCGTTTTGGCTTCGGTCCAGTGGCGCATATTCTAAAAATTCCGTCGCATTCCTACCCTGGTAAAAAGGGAGAGAAAACGAGCAAAACGGAGAATCGTAATCGCGATCGTCGTCCTCGTGGCCCGTTTTGATCTCCACTAGGAATCCCCCTATCCCTTTTCTCTTTTGTCTTCGACCGCTTTTTTCACGACTTATTATTATCGCTTTCGAAAGAGAACGTCGCCCAAGCCTAAACAAAATTCTTCTTACTTAACTTTTCAACATGTAACGGTATATTTGATTGCAATTGAAATTTTATAAAGTCCAACTGATAAAACTTCATTCATATCAACTTTTATTATATGTTCTTAATTGTGATTGTAGACGTCAAGGAAAATTGTTATCGTTGATTGTTTTAGTCTTTAAAGGACAAATTGTACACTAAAAAAAAATGAAGCAAAAAGCGACACTATAGTTCAAAGAGCAGTTGAGATGTTCTAGGCTTAACTCCTTCGAGTGGTTTAAAATCGCGAGCCGGAGACCGTCGATTTCGACGGCGAATGATCGTTCTCTGGAATACCTTTCGTATACAACCGCGAAAGCGTGTATGCATGTGTGTGAGAGAAAGAAAAAGAGAGAAATTGAGAGAAGAAAGACTGTGATTCGGTCGGAGCGGGAATCGAGAGCGACTCAAGTTCAATGCGATAATCGAGACGGACTTGGCACGCGTCGCGTCGCGAACGGATTCTCCCTTCGTCGTTGATCTTGGAGTAAAATTATTGGCGCCATGCTAGCTACAGGTACGACCACCGATCGTGTCTCCGAGTCCACCAACGACGACGCAACTGTGAAACGTGAATAGCTGTTCGAGTGTGTTAAACGAAGAGTATTAAATATGCGTTAAAAAGAGACATCTGTTTTTAAATCGAATACTTAAATCAGAGAAGACTAAGACGTTTGGTTTGAAAAAATAAAAGGAGAGCCAAGGGAAACGAGTAGAATTGACAGAGGCGACTGTGGAGGATATTTAATAAAAGGAAAGCGAACACCAGGCGATAATCGGCGTCGCGGGCGGTGTTCAATGAGAACCGAACAAGATTTGGTGCATACCCAGCGTACGTGAAAAGATCCTCGGGCACGAGGACGGGGCGCCGAAGAGATCCTCGTCGACGACGACGATCACCACGACGACGATGCTGCGCTCGCCGGCGCGGGTCGTCCTCCAGGATTCTTCCGCCTCGACATCCTCGACCTTGTCGGCGCCACCGACGCCGGTCCACCACGGCGCTTCCAGCTCGACCTCCGTCTCTTCCCGACTTTCCTTACTCGACACCTGCCACAGGAAGATCAGGTTCTTCGGCGAGCTTGTCGCGTGAGTCCCCCCGACTAGTTCCAAACTCTCCTATAGAGATCTTCTATAATAGAAATATACGTATTTTATACGATTATACATACTATATGTACATACAGGATGTCCCGTTTCAAGTTTCGCACGTAAACTAGACAACAAATGTTTCAAATGAAAACTGGACTATAAGGTGATCCTCTGAAAGCACAGTGACTTTTAATTCGAACCATTTTTTGGACGAATTATACCTTAGTAAATTTCGTATGAAGCTCCAAATGGAACAACCTGTATGGACAATCACGCGGTTGAACCTCGGTACATTCAACCACGAATGCTAAAATTAAATAATTGAAAGCGTGCGCATAATACAAGTTTCATTCTCGGAGTTGTTAATGTACCAATGTTCGACTGTATTTATATTGTTCGTGTACACACATGTACTTGTATGGAGCTGTCTTCGTTGACGAGGGGCTGGCTTGATGTCTTGTATAAATCTCGGAATTCAAGATTCTATCAGTCTATTTTTGCAGACTATGAATTATGGATCTTGTATTTCCGTCAGATGATTTATAATATCTGTATAAAATTCTTTCCATGTACTGCATTTTTATGGGCTTGCATAATTTTTATTCACGATGTGATGTTATTTATGATGAATCATACTTACGTTTCATATTTAAATGTTTTATAATGTTCGTATAAACAAAATCTTTCCTAAATAGCACACATCAATAAATTTGTATATGTATATCATATACAAGCTGTCCCAGAAAAAGTATTAGATCCGAAAAGAGGTGATTCTGAAGGTGTTTGTGAACATTCATATAAAATGCAAAGTGATCCATAGTTTTTGAATTATTAACGAAAAACACTGACCAGTGTGTGACTTTGCGCGGACGTTACACGCGCTCTTATTGGTCAGTGTGTTTCGTTAATAATTTAAAAACCATGCCTCACTTTACATTTTAGCAAAGGAAATTGTTGTTCGGAAACAGTTACAGAATCACCTCTCTTAAGCTCTAACACTTTTTCTGGGACACCATGTATTTTTCACCTATAATACGAAGTACTTTTTCTAAAATGGAACTAATTTCTTCTACCTATATTGGTAACAACATTCTTCCATTTGAAGTCTGATAAACGCAGTTGTTTTTGGATCGCAAGTAGAAGTTGAAGAAGTAATACGAAGACGAGGCGTAAAGTTGCGGGAACTTTCGAAAGTTTCCAGAGGGAGAAGAATGGAAAATAACTAGTCCCGAAAATATATCTGGGTCATTGACAGATCTCGTTTCAGAAGTTACTGTCAGATTTCTTCCCATCTGCCTTCGACAAAATAACACGTTCCTTTCTTTGCGACAATCTTATCTCTTTGTTAAACTGCACGTGGATTCCTTTATTAAAATTACAGAAGTTAACGTTGAAATGCAATATCGTTGTACTTAAATTGCGGTTTACATTAATTCCAAATTTAATTTAAAACTGTTCGTAGTAAAAATTAGTATTTCGTTTGTCAAGAGGCAAGCCAGTGCTCGTCGTTCGAAGACATCCAGTGTATGCATGGTGTAAAATTAAAACTGTTACACATCAAATTCTCAAGAACTGTAGGACAACATATACACGAAAATAAGCACTTTAACAGTTTCTATGGTTCTTAAGATAACGACCTGTAACATCTTTCAGTTTTATACTTTGCATCGAGTGTTAACAGAAAACGATACAACCGGATGGAAGGTAAATTCAATAGGAAAGTTATTTTATCAACGAAGGAAGTCGCTTCATTTCCGGTTGTATCTTCCCACGTTATATTATTTCTCTTTGTGTATGGCCGGCTGAAAATCGTTATCATTACGTTTCCCTGCATGATATAAGAATTTTTATTGCGCACCGATGTTCGACAATTTTTCCTTGTGCCTCCTACAGACTTGAAATCGTTTTATTCAGAAAATATTTTTCACGCACGTCATGTAAATATATTTCAATTTTACAATTGTTTCATTGACTACGTTAACGAATTTTTTTGAAAGATAACATTTCCAGATCTGTACTAGGCATTACGTTTACCGCTTTGCTAAATTAAATTAAGCCAATCCCAGCGAGCGAACTTCATATATTTTCGATAAATGTTCGTAAAAAAACATGTTCATTCGGTACAGAAGCTGGGAGGACTCGTCGAATCGATACGTTTGAAAAATAACTGAAATAAATTGCCGGGGAGGCGGGAAAGCAGCATGCGAAGAGTGTACGTTCGCGAAATTGGATACCGTCCTCGTTGCGCGGTGTTAAAATTGGAAAAGTTAGGCGTGTTCCTTCGTCGATGGACGCGCGCTGTCGTTTACCGATTTCGTCGGGTCGTGTATCATTTTTAAACCGTGATAAAAACGATAGAAAAAATATGATTCCCTTATCAATCTTTTATAAGAAAACAATCTTGTTTTCTCCTTTAATTATTATCTGGCTTCCGGATACTCTTTATATATAATATTTGTTTAATTATCATAAACGATAACGATGCATAACAGTATGTAATTAATGTTCCATTTTTTAGTTATTTATAGATATATTTGCATTAGGATTAATTTAATACAGTTTTAACCATACCAAATATTTTTCTCATTCGAATAGGTTTGTATTTCCATGTAATGCTTGTAGGACACTTCAAGAGATCTCTTAGAAGTTAATAGAATTTTCAAATAGACAAAATTCAGTTATTTATGCAGATATAATTCAAGATTAGGATTAGATATTAAGAACTTTAATCGTAGCCAATAGATTAGCGGTAGTATTCGTGTATAGAAGATAGCAATTGTGATTGAATGTAATAACTAAGGGTTCATCACAAGCAACTAGAATTTTTGGCATCTAGTTGTTATATGTATATGTATAATCCATCTAGTTCATAGGCGAGTGAATGGTTTGCGATGTTTATTAGTGAGATTTGGTAAAAACTGGTAGTAACATAAAGGGTGATTGGCAGTTAGGCCAGTTTTCTCCAAGCAAGCGCAGCTTCTTTCAGTGGCATGAGCTTTGTATAACGACAATAGAGGAGAAAAAAAACTGATGCTTTGTCGAACGTAGACGTGGCTGAATATTGTGGCACTCTATAATTATGGTTATAAGTGCATGCGATTATAGATCGTTTTAAAGCAGCCAGAAAGCTAATTACACTGTTCCTCCGGATGTAAATTCAAGATCAACAGTCTCGAGCAAAACTCCATAATTATTCGCATAATTAGATAATCTTATTATTAATACTCTCAAAAGATCGAGTTTTAGATGTTAGAATATCGATTGGCTGATTTTTAGAATTTAGGACAGTAGGTCTTTTTATAGTCTTGTGAAAGGGTAAAAATTGTTGTTACAAAATCCATACACGTTTGTAAAAAGAGCATTAAACAATCGAATAACGTACTTAATATTATTTTAAAGATCTTGGTAAAATAAAATTTAATTTTATCAAAGCAGATGAAAATAGTACTTTTAAATGTCAATTTATATTCCATCTTTTTGTATGGCAAACCACATGAGAGATACGTGCCAATATTTATAGAAAATTATTAAAGAATTAATCAATTAACGTCTGTTCGGAAGACGCTTTCTGGGTGCGAATGGAGGTAACAGTGAAAAAGTTGGAATCGCTTGACGGATTAAAACCGAAGTTTGGAAGGATCTGTACAAATCCGATAACTCGTTAATCTGATTAGCGAATCCGTGCCAGTCGATTAAAGACGTAACGTCCTGTGCGCGATGCGATTAGCCAAATCGTTGTTCATGAAGCGCGATTACAATGCGGAACACAGTTTGCCTGCGGTATCGACGATCTTGTTTCCTAATAAAGGTTCAGCTTCTTGTTTTTCATCGCGGTTTGTCAAAATCAAATGGAGAAACTATTCTGTTTTTAGTTATTCAATTGTGTTTTATTTGAGTTTAATAACATTTAATAGGATCAAAGCTGCTGAGAGCTTTAAAACATCAATATCTAATTGAATGTTAAAATTGCTTAAAATTGAAACGAAAATTGAATTATCATTATTGCTTATTCGTAAAATATTATATAACGTTATTATAATTGGTGCAATATAAAATGATTTAATACAGGAAATAGCTCGGGTTGAACAGAGGACGCTTTCACCACCTCGCCTGCTAAATTATCCGATTGCAGTGGCAAGCAGGGACGCGAAATTCTGATATAATATCTTGTTTAATCTCGTCACAAAGCGCGCGTTGATGATAACTAACTGCCGTTTTACGTCGAGATTGAAATTTGAAAAATTCTGTGCTACTCGCAGCTGCGATAAACACTTGGTAATGATACAAACGACGAATTCTAATTAAAACGTAACGTCGTTCCCCCGTCAAAGGATAAACTCGCGTCTGGTCGTTAATAAATGAAAGCCACCGGTCTTAATTAAAAATGCGTCGTATAATTTCCCTCGCGTTTCGCGTCAATAATTTATACCCGACAAAAAACAGTAGTTGGCATTGCGTCGTCAAGCAATCGCGTTAAAAAAAATAGATACGTAAATGAGTTTATCCCTTTGCGAAATAATTCGAAATATTCTGTTGATACTGCGTGAAGATGAGACCAGTTGGGAAGTGGTGTCGTCAGTATTTCACATCGAAATTGTTACGTGGCCGCCATTTTAGTTAAACACGGATTAAGTGGTTATTGGATCGAGAGTCGAGGAAGGCCTCCTTCACGTCTGTTCCCTTGAAAATTAATTAACTCATCCGGGCCACGTGTTATCGTTCGATGATTAAATGTGTAAGTACTTCCTTGCCTGGAAATATTTCCGTACTTCGAATGAAGGGACGCACTCGAAATTAGATTATCTAATTTTATGGAGGAGATCATTAAGTAAATCTATTCGATAGTTCTGTTTGAATTTGTAACATTGTTTTCTTATGA